CTTACCCACCCGAGGGGACGGTGGGGGCAGCAGCGCGGATTTGGACGGCGGCGGTAGGGCCGGGCGACGAGGGGCTTCGCTGGCCCGCAGAGGCTGCAGGTCGGGCTCGTCCCTGTGCACGCCGCTCTGAGGGACACTGCTGCGGAACCGAGACGAAGAGGAGTGGAAGATTCAGGGGCCTCCCCTCCTAGACCCTCCGCTCTTGACAGGAGTTGGTGGTGGGGCATGCTGGGAAGGCTTGGGGGTGACACGGGCCAGACCTCCGCCCCCTCCCCCCAAAGAGGAAGGCACAGCCAGAGCAGGTGCTGTGCTGGGGAGAGGTGGCGGCCCTGGCCCCAGAAGACTGGGCTAGTGGCTGGGTCCAGGTACAGACTCAGCCGCGAGGGCTCTGACCAGCCCCCTCCCCCCAGCCCCAGAAGCTGGGAAACAGAAACAAAACAGCGGTGAGAGAGAAAAGAATGAGGCCTGGGACCCAAAGGATGCAGTGGTGAGGGAAGGCAGGAGGGTTGGATGGGGAGGGGCCCCCTCAGGAATGCAGCCTCCCGCTCATTCCTGCCCCCAGCGGGCCCCCACGGTCCTGCCCGTCCTCAGCAGGACAGACCCCATCACAGGGGCCCCAGAAGAACAGGCAGGAGCCTTTCAAGCCTCCTTCCAGGTGCAATGCTCCATCCCTGGGGTTCCCTAACACCAGCTCAGACCTGAGCCCAGTACTGATAGGGCACAGAAGGTGGTGGCTGGGGTCCCTAAGGTCGGAGACTAGGATACTCAGGTTCCCATTCCATTTCATCAGTCTGCTCCCAGGACAGGCCTTTGACTTTGTCCTGCCCCTGGGAAAGTTACCTGAGTCCTTGGAACTCCCTGGAGAAGCACAGAAGCTCCCCAAAGGGGTATGCTCAGAAATAACTCAGCTCAGAAATAACTACTGCGTGGGCCTGAATTGGGAGTGCGGGAGAAGAGGAGACGGGAAGGAGCCGGTCAGCCCAGAGTACTCCTCGCCTACAGAGCTTTGAGGTCCAAGAGCTGGGCCTCAGTTTCCCCTATCTGGACCCTTGGGGAGCACATCAAACAAAGATTAGCAAGAAAATGAATCTGAGATGTTAACATCACACCTGACACATTAGAGAGAGCTTAGTAAAAAGTACGAAATGGCTCGTTGTGTGCCAGGCTTGTACCAAATGCTTTAAGTGCACTGTCATTTAATCCTCGAAACAATCCTTTCAGATAGGAACTGTTACCAGGTCCATTTACAGATGAAGAAACTGAGGCTTAAAGAGGTAAGGGTGCCTTAGCAAGGTGAGACAGCTAGAAAATGGTGCTAGGACTGAAACCTGAGCCTTTGTTCCCCCCAAAATGCCTGGGATTCTGGGGGCACAAAAGGGAGGAGAAATAGGGTACCAGCCATGAGCAGAAGTTCTAGGGGTGCCTGAGTATAAGGATGTTTTAGACCACCTGGGTCAGCCACCTCCACGGCAGACCCCACCTCTGACGGGGGCATGGGGATGGCAACCCATAGTACCAAGGGAGTGGAACCTCAGCCAGCCACCTGCAGAAAGGCAGAATCTATTCTGGGGGAGGGACAGCAGAGTCCCTGAGGAATGAGCCATGGGAACTGGGTGAGGCAAGGAGAGAAATTGGGACAGCAGAGGAGGCCTCTTGCCGGCAGTTTCTAGCTCCAGGCCAGCCTCTGTACCACAGACATCACTAAGGAAATGGGTTCCTGGAAGTTGCCATGGCAACTCCAGGCTCTGGCTGGGGCCTGGCAAAGACAAGCAGGGAAGGAAAAGGCAAGTCCAGGGCACAGGAGCACCTGGTTAATGCCAACCAGACAGAGCAAGGAAGCCTCCCCTGCCCCTGCCCAGACCTCTTCCCTGCCCACCACTAGCCACTCCAACCACCTTCCCCACAACAGGCCCCTTCCTTCTCTTCCGTGGTAGTACCTCCTCCACACACCCACAACCAGCACAAATCAGGCCCCCTGTCAGCTCCCCAAATGTCCCCCAATACCTCTTTCACCAGCCACTCCCCTCTTCTACCATAGCACTCCCTCCTGTATCTGCCAATCTCCAAATCTCCAAAAATGGCTCCAGTGCCTCCCTCCAACACCTCGGCTTCTCAGCCCCTACTCAGACGACCTTCAACCCCACCCTCGGGAGTTTCCCACAAGATCATCACAGGCACACACACACCCCTCCAGCATTCCAACCCCTCTGCCTCTACCCCAGCCCCCTGTCTCCATCCCTCCCTGCCCTGGCCCCCTACGCCTGCTTCTCCCACACCCCACATCCTCCTGCTGTCCCAGGCCCCTGACCCCACCTGCCCCCGACCACCTCGCTCTCTTCTCTCTCCTGGTTGTGCTCTTGCTCCCTTGCTCTCTCCTGCTCTCCCGGGAGCTGCCGTGGTTCCGTTCCTCCCAGAAAAAGGCCCACAGGGAACAGGAATGTGCAGAGAATGAAAAGGCAGCAGCTGCTGAGACAGCAGGCACGGAGGGGGCCCCAAGGGGGGGGGATCCTGGGGACAACTGGAGCCTGAATGGGCGAGGCGGAAGAGGGCCCCTGGGAAAGTGGAGACATTGGAAGAGACAAGGGAGGGACAGAGGGGTCCAGAGACCATGAGATGTCACGGTGAGCCGGAACAGTAGGTGTGGGAGGGTGTGGGTGGTGATGGCACAGGAGATGGATGAGCACTGTAGGAAGACAGAGTGAATAGCTGGGGCCAGGAGTGGAAGCAATGGGGGGGTGGAGAAGTGCACAGAGGGGTGGGTGTGCCCAGGAGATGGGGGTGAAGGGGCAGTGCAGGACAGCATGGTGAGGTGGGACAGTGCAGGCCCATGTGAAGCGTTACTTACACGTGGATCGAGAGCGCCCGTCCTCTGTACAGACTGAATGCGCTGCCATACAGGTCACTGGCCACCGAAAGGCTATCCTCTGACCCCCAGCTTGCGCCCACCAGATTAGCTCGAGATGCCCGTACCAGCGGCTCCACCCCCAGGTGCCGTGGCCCGGCCCCGGCCGCCTGTGCTTGCCTTGGGCTGCCTGGGAGGCGGCGGGTGCCACCCCTGCTGCCCACTTCCTGCTCCAGGACCGTCTGCCCGCTGCCCCACCAGCTCACTTGCTCCTCTGAGGTGCCTGTCACGGAGGTCGGGGGGGTGTCCAGGGAGGTGCCCACCAGTGTGTCGGAGCCCCCTAGAGAAAGGAGCATGGTTAAGGCCGGGCGCCTTTGGTGAGAGGCCCGCCTGCCTGCTCTTTGAGCACCCCATACAGCTCACCTGTGGGGGTACTGAAGGTCCTGTCATCACGAAGCTCCAGGCGCTGGGTCCCTTGCACATCGCTGATGTCATCCTCGCCTGTCTCCAAGTCTGGAGAAACAGGGGTCTGTGTGGGCAGGGCCCTCCTCCCTCTCACTCCAACTCTTCCCCATGCCACCGCCTGCCTCCCCACAGCAGGCTCCATCTTACCACTGTAGGACTCCCAGTACCCTTCTGCTCCTCTTTTGCTCCCCACATTCTCCTGCCCATCCTGGGCTGCTCAGGGTAGGCCCTCCCATGCCCAGGCCCCTGGTTCCATGTCTGGGCCCCTGGTTACTCACCCTTGCCTCCTTGGTAGTGCCTGCCCTCAACTACCTACCATCCCGTCCCAGCCACTTAATGAATGACCAGGGCCTCAGCCCCTGTCCCTCCTCCCCTGTCAGTGGTAGCTTAAGTTCCCATGCAGCCCCCAAAATAACAAGGTCCTAGGTTCCAAGGCTCTAAATTCTGGGTTCCAGTACCCCAGGAATAAGGGAGTCACCTCAGAGTCGTATTGTCAGGGCACTCGACCAACTGCAGGACCGGCCTGTCCTCCACCCCGAGCCAGCCGGGACACATCGGGGTGCAGCTGAGGCAGGGTGAGGAGGGGCCGGGTTGGGCAGGGAAGAGGGGGAGTGGAGGGCTAGGGCAGGAGCCAGTTTCCTACCGTAACTTTGCTTTCTGCAGGAGCGGAAAACTTCGCTTCCATAGGAGCAGCAGAAGAGAGACATGGACAGACTGTTATCAGAGCGTTTGTGGGGTAGGGCATGGTAGGCAGGCAGCACAGAGGCACAAGGGTACCCAGTGCTCAGAGATGCCCTGTGGGGACGCGGCAGGGGAGGGAGATGCCTGGGATGAGCTCAGCATCTCTAGTTCTTGACTGACTGCAAGCTCCCAGTGTGCCCAGGGCTGGGAAGCCCCTGTGCTTTGGCTGGTTGTTCCAACTACCCCAGTTACCCTGTACCCTTGGCACTTTTACTGGTGTACTCACTGGTCACACACACATACACACACACACACATGCCTGCTTGCACTAGCCCAGCCCCCCCCCCATTAGGGATCAGGCTCACCTGCTATTACAATATTTGTATTGCGCTTTGACCCCTCTTTGCAAACTGCCCCCTCATCTGTTCTGCATCATGATGTGACAGGAACCCTCTTCCCCGCCCCTCTCTTCTACTGCTGAATGGTCCTCAAAAATGCCCAGTTAGGCTAGGAGCAGTTTCCTGGGCATATTTTCAACTTTCCCTGACTCTATCAGGTTCTGAGCCTCAGTTTCTCTATGCGTGCCATGACAAGCAGGAGCCATGTACTGGTGGCCAAAGCCTGGCAATGAGCTCATCCTCACTTGGTCCCATGGTGGGGTGTGTATGACTCCCCCACCCCCTTTTGCTAGGTCCTCTCTTAGCTCGGGGCACAAGGGGCCTTCTTGGGTGGGCAGGTGAGTATGGGTGCATGTGGGGGGCGGTGTCCCAAATCTCATGAGCTGTCTTCAGGGCCTGGGTGCCTCATGAAGGAACATGAACCAAGAGAAGGAGTGGGCATGGGTTAGAGCCGGAAGCCCACAGTCCACACACCATGGGTGAGGCGGCTAAAGGCCCGGCGGGAGTGGCCGGTTTTCTGAAAGAGAAAAGCCAGAATGAGTTGTTGAGGGGAAGGCTCGCTCCTGACACCCTTATACCTCCTGTCCAAACATTCCAGGGGCCAGTGGGCAGGGAGCGGGGGTTGGACAGAGACTCAAGGTGGCCAGCTTCCCCCACAGCAAATGTCTCCACTCTTCTAGCCTGTCAGCCCTCCCGGCTGGAGCTCCGCTTGGCTCTGGGAAGGGTCAGGGGAGGAAGGAGAGGGAGGACAGCAAGGCTGTGGGTCAAATGCTGGGACTCAATTCATGGAGACTCCCAGGACAGGGGACCTGAGGGATACCCCCAGAGACAGGCTAGGAGGCAGGATAGGGGGCTGACGGACATGAAGGAAAGATGGGGGGTGTTGCTTGGATGACTGGGAGATGGAGGGAGGAAACAGATTCCTGCGGAGGAAGGCAGACCCCAGGGACAGGTGTCAAGAGGGCAGGAGGGGGGCACAGAGGACAAGGTCCCCCAAAGGGCAGGGGCCTCACGAATGCAGGAAGGAGGCCCGGGTATGCGAGGACAGGGCAGGGCTTGGGAATTTATTGAGCTCAGCGCGGATCCCTGTGCCTGGCTCTCGGGAGCTCCGGAAGATGGAAGGCTCCAGAGTGGGGGGCTGGGGGAAGCCGGCCAGGGCCCGGGGCCCAGGTTGGCTAGAGGCTAGAGAAGACCAGGTGGCCAAGAAGCCGACGGGCGCTCCTCGCCAAAGGCGGCTCGGAGACCTCCCCGGGTGGTCGCAGGGAATGCAGTCGATTGGGGGGG